CCCAAGGGGAAATGGGCTCAGCACACGCACTGTCCACCACAGTGAAGAAAACCTGCCAAACTCTGATCTTGTGGAATTTACATGGGGGGAGGGGGTCAGACAATAAATATGATAAGTGAATTATAGAGTATGTTAGAAGGTGACACATACTATGGAATTAAAAGGAGAGTAGAGAGGGTTGGCCGGCTATGTTGTAACACGAAGGTTAAGGATTTGAATCCCCATATCAGCCAGCCACCAAAACACAAACAAAAAAAACCTAAGTGAGATGGCAAGTGAGAGTTGCAATTTGCAAACAGATTTAATTTTATAAAACTAATCAAATGAAAAACTGCGTTGTATATCTTTTTTTTTTTTTTTAAAGATGACCTGTAAGGGGATCTTAACCCTTGACTTGGTGTTGTCAGCACCATGCTCTCCCAGTGAGCAAACCGGCCATCCCTATAGATCTGAACCCGTGGCCTTGGTGTTATCAGCACCACACTCTCCTGAGTGAGCCACAGGCCGGCCCTATGTTGTATATCTTAAAGAGAACATAGCTATGTACATTTTGGAAAATGAAAAAAAAATTTTTTCACTTCTAATTCCATTACCCCAGCATAACAGTGGTTAGCATTTGGTGAATTTTCTCTCAATCTTTTTTTTTGCTCTAGGGCATTGGTTTTCTTGCATGACTTTAGGCTCGGCATACATCTAATTTTGTCCTCTGCTTTTTCACTTGCCATTTGAAGTGTGCCAGCTCTTCTGTCTCCAAGGCCCGTGTGCTTTTCCTCTCCTCTTCCTAATGTGCCCTGCAGGGGAAGCTGACACTGATCTCAGTTTCTCTGGCTCCAAATGAGTAGAGGCCATTCCCAGGAATCCAATCTCCATGAACTCCAGCTAGCCAAGGCCTGCCTGACAGCAAGGAGGAGAGGGGCCTGCTGAGAATTAGTTATTAATAATTAGTAATTACATGACATAACACATGTGACATATCTGGCACGTATTACGTACTTGGCAGATATTGGTTTTCTCCCCTTGATGGAGGATAGGTCAGGGTGACCAGCCAGCACCACCTGGAGCTCCCTCTCCCAGGCAGCTGTTGTCAGGTGGGCTCTCTTATCTTCAGCCCAGCAGTCTCCTGTCCAGGATGCTTTCTCCCCAGCCTCTTTTGGGGGATCAGTACTGATGCTAGCCTACAAGGGAGTCTCATCTCCAATTTTTCTTCTTTCAGGAGAGACTCTATGGACTCGAAGTCTTCTGCAACCTCCTCTCCAAAAAGGCCATCGATGGAAAGGTAACGAAGCCACAAATTTCTCCCTCCCCATGGTCCTGTTCAGCAGGTGTCCTGCTTTATGTTATAGTGGAAGAAGCCCAAGGCAGGGGAAAGGAGGAAACTGATACAATATATTGCCTCCAAATTCTCGGACCCACACAGTAAGACCGAATGGGCCCCTGAATCAGAGTGTGGCTCCTTCACTGGGGTGACTGACCAGTTGCTGTTGTGCCAGGCACTGTCCGGGGAACATTTTCAAGGTCAAGTTGAACCCAGTGAGGACAGAGATCTTGAAAGCCTGTACATATGTGGAGTGGGATTTCTGGATTTGGGTTGAACTGGTTATGGTGTCTACCCCTGTTTTAGTTTATTTTGTGTTGCTATAACAGAAATACCTGAGACTGGGTAATTTATAAGGAAAAGAGGTTTATTTGGCTTACGATTCTGGGACAGCTGCATCTGGCATGGGCCTTAGGCTGCTTCTACTAATGGCGGAAAGTGGTAGGCAGCCGGTGGGTACAAGCAGATCACATGGCGAGAGGAAGCAAGAGAGAGAGAGAGAAGGTGCCAGGGTCTTTTTAAGCAACGAGCTCTTGCGGGAACTAATAGAGTGAGAACTCACATGACTCAATCAGTTTCCAACACTGCCTCATTGGAAATCAAATTTCCACATGAGTTTTGGAGGGGACAACACATCCGAACTCCATCAACCCCAAAGTAGAATAAATCATGAAGTCATTCATTCATCAGATATTTACTGAGGGCCTACTATGTGCCAGCAACTGTTCTAAGTGCCAGGGATACAGAAATGAACAAAACAAACAAAAATCCCTGTGCTCATGGGGCCTGTATTTTAGTGGGGGAGACAGGCAATACATATAATAAGTAAATTA